AAACCCTTTCCTCGCCAAGTTGGTTTGATCAGACTGTTTTATCACAGCAACAGAATGCTAGCTAGGACACTGTTTATGATGTCTATGCACAGGGGTGCAAGCGCCATGGTTCACAGGTGGAGGCCAGAGGACAACTTCAGGTGTCCATGCTTACTTTCCATCTTGTTTGAGGCAGGGTCTCTTACTTTTGCTACGACACTGGCTGTATAAGGCTAGCTGGCCATTGGCTACTGGGGAATCTCCTGTCTATGTCTCCCATCTTGCCATGAGAACACTGAGATTACAAACACATACTGCCGAACCCAGTATGATATGGGTTCTGGGTATCTGAACTCAAGTCTTCATGCTTGTATGATGTATGGCAAACCCTTTACCCAGTCAGTCATCTCCTCAACCTCTTTTTATTGTTTTCACTTCTGCGTCTGTAAATGCAGATGATGACTAGCTTTTGAGGGCATTTTGAACAGTATTGATAATACAGATAAAAGCAGTGACATTGTGTCTACCATATAATATATACCCAGATAATCACATCTAATCTAATTTCTTATGTTTGTTATTGAACGGAAAAGTAGCATGGTAATATTGTTCTTATGTTTATGCTTGGTCAGTGACTTTTTTTTTTAGATTTTACTTATTATTTTTATCTTATGTATGTGCATGTCTTGCCTGCATGTAAGTGCACCCGTGTCATGCAGTGCCTGAGGAGGACAGAAGAGGCTGTCATATTCCCTGGAACTGGAGTTACAGACAGTTGTTAGTTGCCATGTGGATGCTGGGATTTGAACTTAGGTCTCACGTAAGAACAGTCTGTGTTCTCAACCGCTGCTGAGCCATCTCTCCAGCCGCGGCCAACAGTTTTTTTTTTTGTTTTTTTTTTTAAACATCTGTGTCAATATGGAATTTAAAGTGAAATGTTAATTATAATACTTCTAATGAAAAGATAGCACTGGTACCAGTGAGGATGAATTGCATTTTAGTACAGAAACCTAGGACCGCAATGATTAATTTTTGTTAGTTGTAAGGCATTATAATAAATAACCTACCATTAATTGATAATTCTGGGTTTTACTAAAAAAAACCACACTGAATGTATATTGAAAGACAGTTGAGGGATGTAGATTGCCTGCTGCATCAGTTAGCTGCAGATGCAGGTGACTGTACTTCTACAATGTTATGATCCCTGCATTTGGGTCATTAACAATTCCTGATGGTGAACCATGGTTTCAGGTTAGCCCTAACACGAAATGCACTTAGAAAATGTAATGTTCAAGTTATCCCAAGCCAAATGCCAAATGCCAAAATGGATTTGGGTTTTAAAAAAGGTGAGGGAGCAGTTTTGGATTCATAGCAAGGGATATAGGCAGAGTCACACCCTCTCTTCAAGAAAGCACTGTTGATGGCGAGCCCTGCTGGATTCCAGTATGAGATGCATTATTTACATATAAGGCAACTCTGGGCCATCTTCTCTCTGTGGTTCAGTGTTTTCATCACTAGTGGATGCATAAATATCAACCTTACATCATCAAAATAGCTTGTATTGCATTTCTTGTTTGGGGCTACAACCTTCTCGGAAGTGCTTAAACATGGGTGTTGTCACAGTGGCAGCTGGGCTGGTAAAAAGCTCACTTGCGTTTCTCCACCAATTGCCCTGCAGTTCAACTGACAACCTTCTGTATTTTTCCTCCCTGGATTTATTCTAGGTTTACTCAGCACAAGGTAACAAGTGAGTACATGTGCCAGGAAATACCACTTCTGAGAAGTAGAGGAGCATGTTGGTGCCACATGCAATTCCTGAGTACTTTGATGCTTTTTCTTCTTTTATATTCGCAAAGGAAACAGGGTAAAAGTTTGCCCCATTCAGCTAAGACAGAATCAGGTCATCCAGGCACGGTAGTGCATGCCAACACCTGGAAGGTGGAAACAGGAGGATTGCTATGAGATGGAGGCCAGCCTGGTCTACATAGTGAGTTCCAGGCCAGCTGAGGCTACAGGGACTCTATCTCAAAAAGACCTCTTCCCACCCAAAACAACAAAACAAAACAGAAAACAATGCCAACCAATCATCTGGCCAACCAACCAACAAAAACCCCCCACTTGTACAAATTAAAATAAATAAATAGTTTATAAAACAGCATTAGTCACTGTGGCTATTGCTGTTTTTTCTCCAGTATCTGTTAGATCCTTTGCAAATTAATATTACAAGAGTAGCCAACACCATCAGAAGAATTACAAAGCCATCCTAATTAAAATCCTCAGCCAAAGTCACGGGAGTTATAGACAAGGTGGAACTCAAGGCAAGCACATTAGCTTTTATGAGCAAAGCTTAATGTCACTTTATATTTTCATTTTCCAAAACATCTGGCCCTGTAGTATCAAAGCTACATTTCAAAGATCCTCAGTTAGTTATGTGGCTTCTCTCTTGTGTGATGGAGACACAGAATGAATATATTCCATACCTCCGGGTTAAGAGGGCTTAATCTAAGACAAAATAATGTTCATGATTGTAATCTAGATTAAAGCTCTCTTTATAACTCATAAATTTCAATTAAATGCTTCTAACCTTTTACATAACACAAAATTGAAAAACTAGTTTCTAGGTCAGGACTAGATTTAGGGTATATCTGTGGGCAGAGCTATAAAAAGGCAGGTTTTGTCTGATTCAAGTGTTTCTGCTTCTACACTGTAAAAAATAACCCAAGAACAAAATGAGTATAAGTTTCTAACTGTCATAACAAAGGCACAAGGAAGTAATGTTCTGTCTCAACATACTTTCTTGTTAAGATGTGGAAAATAACAGGTTAAGCAAAATGATGGGACAAATGTAGGGACATGCAGTACTGAAGACCTCAGGAAATTAGGAAATTTGGGAAAGTGAGGTTCTTTTTTTTTTTTGGTCTTTTTGAGACACGGTCTCCCTGTAGCCCCAGCTGTCCTGGAATTCACTATGTAGACCAGGCTGGCCTTGAACTCACAGAGATCCACCTGCTTCTGCCTCTTGAGTGCTGGGATTAAAGGTGTGTGCCACCACGCCCAGCTGAAAGTGAGGTTCTTAAACAGCAAAGGCTGAGAGGCAAGTTCTCCAGGCATGGTCATGCCAACTAGAGCCTCACATTTATTTACAGTTTTACTTTACTAATGAAAAAGATTTGTTTGCTCTGTGATTTAGTTGTGTTCCTAATTTACTATGATAATGGTTTACAGATTTAAGAAACTGCTATTAATTTCTTTTACATTTCAAAATTGGACTTGCAGAGGAGCTAAGATTAAAAACTTTACATTCATCCAACCATGTAATATCAATTATAATTTCTAAACAGGACTTATAGAGAAGCAACTACAGATTTGACACAATCATTCCTGAAATGGCTTTGGTGACACATGACTTACAATTTCTGGAATGGAAGAAGGTTAACATTTGAAACCAATATATTTAGTCACTTATTAGAGGGATTATAATATTTTCCACCATCACAAGTAACGTGGTGGTTAGAATGGTACCGTACAGTACCTCTGTACCACATACAGGTATAAGCTTTCTCAAATGCTGAAAAAATTTTCTTATTCTCCAAAATCTAGAAATAAATATATTGCTGCCTTTGGTGTTTACTAATCAAGCTTTAATTTTAAAATTGTATTTATGGGGCAGGAGAGATGGCTCAGCGGTTAAGAGTACTGGCTGCTCTTGTAGAGGACCCAGGTTCAAGTTCCAGACCCATATGGAGGCTAACAATCATCTGTAACTCCAGTTCCAGGGGATCTGATGCCCTCTTCTGACCTCTGCAGACACTGCTTGACACAGGTGCACTTACATATATGCAGGCATAGCACTCATACACATAAAATATAAAGAAATAAAGTTATATTTACTTATTTTGTGTGTATGTTCACACTGTCATGTGTCAGGGCACGGCTGTGGATCTTAGAGGACAACTTGCATATCATGCTTCTCTCCTCCCACTATGTTGGTCCTGGGGAATCAACTCAGGTTTCTGCAGGTACCTTTACCTGCTAAGTCATTTCACTGGCCCCAAGAGAAAGGTAAATGTGAATACTAAGGAGACAGGAAGGGCTGGTCAGAGTAATAAGATAAGGTGGTAGCTACTACAGATTTCTAAAAGCAGAAAAAAGAGAAAGAAAACTTGAACCAGTGTAGATGAAGCTGTTTGTATTGTGAAGTTCTTGAAGGTAAACAGGAGCCTGCAGGCATGAAGAGGCTCGACAGCTCTTCTGGAAAGCACTGGTGATAAAATATGGTATGTGGGAGACAGGTGGTACCTGGGTTGGCTGTTATGACCTGTGAAAGGATTAGGTGGCCTGAAAAAATATCCTCTAAGGTCTTTTCAATCTAATGTGCTACCACAGGCCAAAAGACCACCAAAACCTGAGTGCCAAGCCTAGGCGTTTCAATATGGCAAATTCAGGGATTGATTTCTATAAGGAGTGGAGTGGAAACTACCCTCCTGGGTGTGCTGAGGAATAACCCTTGCCCATCATCCTCAGGAATACACTCCTGACTACGCCATGAGAGATAGGTTACAAAGTGGTCCACAGATTAAATATACTGCACATTTCCAAGGTATGTAGTTGTATTAATCACCGTAGCGCATCCACTTGCTCCTAACCTGTCTCCAGTAACGATATCTGGATTTATTTACAAACACCTCTTGTCTCTGCTTTTTAAATAAGTAGCTAGTTTACGAGCCCCTTCTGAAAATTATCTGTTAACTCCTAAATTTAAACACCCACTGGTAAACTGGGAATTTCCCCTCACATAAAAACACCAATTAAAGTGTGAAGTCTTTGTGTGTGGATGGTAGCATCCGTACTGTGTTTCTGTGAATCATTCATTATATAAGAAAGAAAAGTACCAATAAACTGTGCCTGAATTTGAGGTAATTATGTTCCTAGATGGCCAGCAATCCAGTCAATACTATATTCTCATGCAAATATTTAAACACAAGAAAGGAACAGTTTGAACGATATATTCATTTTCTTACCTTCTATTGCTGATAAGAGAACCCTAGAGTGGTCATATGCGATGACATTTGCATATCTGTTTTTGGGTTTGTTTACTTCCAAGTTTGAGTGCTCCCATGTGAACTGCTGGCCTGGGTCAATTGACTTTAAAAGAAAAAAAACACACACAAAGTCAATACTAATTAACACAGAATTATAGGCATTTATAACCAAGAATGAACACAGCTTCAAAGGAAAAATCTGAAACCATACTTGATCGAGTTGGTTGTAGCTGTGAAGCTGAAAACTAATATACTCTGCGTAGCACACTGATTGATACGCTAAGAAAGTGTGATGGTCACCACCATTGATTCCCATGAACAAAATCAATGCAGAAGCTCTGTTAAATATTGGAAAGGCTGGTTTTCATTGTACTTTCCATTTTGCTTCTTGCTGCTGTAGTTTACAAGTCATCTTGGCTCGATAGTCTTTCTGGGCTATGAACATCATTTTGCCTTGATTGCTCTTCCCTAGTCTTTCCTTTCTGAACCTTCGTACCCACTTCCAGTTGACTGGCCTGTCCCTGTCTTGACTGGGTGCTGGCTGTGTTTTTGGTTCTTTACCTAGCTGTTCACACCTTAAGGACAGTTTAAGGTTTTATCTATTTCTTCATAACACGTGAAGGCCACTATCACAGCAACGTGTACAATTTAAACAGTCACAATGACAGTTAAGACAGGAGTCAGAGTAACTATAAATAACCCATACAAAGGGACCTGATTGATTTTCTGTTTATCAGTATATTGATCTTTACCAAGTTTGCTTCTTTTAATCTCTTATTTTAATCTTATATTTTCTAAGCTTATCATCTTTTTATGTCTTAGTTCCACCAAAAACTAATCTGAAATAAGCACTGCACAGATTTAAAAATGTATTCTGTTGTTTGCGCAACTAATATTCCAAGAACTGCCAGGCTTGATTATAAAACTGTAGGGAATTTGTTAAATTTACAGCAATGCTTCAAAAGCCAACTTACAATACTGACACCTAGTTAAGATTTCCAATTTCACGGAATACAGAAACCTGAATTGACCAAGGACATAAACAGGATTAGAAATGATCAAAATCAAGGTTTCAAAAATAATAATATAGGTTCATGTACAGGTAAAAAATTAAAAATCTGATAGAATTATTAATATTCTAATATAATGTTTGATACTGTGCATTTTCCATGCTCTTATGTATATATGTAGAAGTTGAAAGCAAAACATAAGCAACAACTATCGTAACATTAAAGAAGCATACATAGGCCTGCAAAATGGGTCACTGTTTGCTGCCATGCCTGACCTGAGTTCAACACCTGGACCCACACGGTAGAAGGAGAAAACTGACGCCCCCAAGATGTTCACTGACATCCATACACTCGCTTTGGCATGTACATGCCCACAAACATTTATGTGCATACAACACACATACACACACACACACACACACACACACACACACAAATGCAATAAGAATATTTTTAAAAGATGTATATAATTTCTGTTAAAAGGCTCAGAAGGCTCAGAGTTCAGCGTGGTGTTAAAACTCTCAATTCTAAAGATGAAGAGCCAAGACTCTTTCCAATCAAATATGCCAACATTTTCAGCAGTATTCAGTTCAGTCAGTAATTTACTAAGGAATATGGAGCCTTTTTTTTCCTTTCTGTGTTAATTTATGTATTTAAAAAAAGCCAATCTGAACATTTAGTGAAATAATTATTCATGTTTTAGAGTCTACAGAATAATGTCACTAAGAGGCACCGCACCTGAGTTTGTTCTAGAACCATCGCCCCTTCAGTTCACAACCTTCTCGACATACTACATGAGATAAGGAACTCCAGCATTCAGACATGGGGAGGAAGTCTTCATGTCCAACTTGAACCTCATCTACACCCATTGAGTAATACTTGCCTTTAAAATTTTTGCAGTTCATCTTGAATCTCTGATACAGTCCTATTAGCATCTCCTAAAGCCAGTCATGAGATACCTCCTCCATTGACCACACTGCAGCCAAAGACTCTTTCTAAAGGACAAGGGCAGGACAGGGGTTCCTGCTGAGAACAGGCTCCAAGGTGGCCTTAAGGTAAATTACCTAGCCATGGCAGAACAGGGCTAGAAGGAATATCCAGAAAACCATACACATAGGCTGCAAAGTTAGCATAGGAGAGAAACCTGTTGGCATGGACCTTCTGCTCAAGGCCAACCAAAACCCCAGAACCAGGAGAAGGCACTGTCACAGCTGAAGAGGCACTCCACCCTATCTGAAGGTGACCTCAGCTTATTATAATACTGACATGCATATCCCTGGGTGGAGAGTTAAGATGCTAACAAAACATGTGATATGTGAAATTGTATGTATAAATGTAACACGGAGAGCGGCCATGAGAAGCTTGTGTTACATAAAAGCCCTATCTTGTGTAGCAGATGGCTCTTGACCTCCTAAATGTGCTGCTTACTGGCTTGCTTCCCCTGCTTCTGCTCAGATTCCTTTCATACACAATGCAGGCTCTTCTGCCCAGTGGTGGCACCACCCACGGTGGGGCAGGCCCCTCTCCATCAACTTGCAATCAAGAAAATGCCCCATATCCATGTCCAGAGGCCAACTTGGTGGAGGGATTAGCCAAAACTAGCCACCACACTACAGGGGCCCACAGAACCCTAATATCCATGAGTATATCAGACTCTTTGTCTACAATATATGTGGCTCCTTAAATAGTTCAACAAATGTTCTTAGAAAATGAATAGAACTGATGAATACATGTTTTTAAGGAAACTTCATGAAGCAAAATCATAGATAACAGACATGTCAGAACTAACTATGGGAATTTTGATGCAGTGTACCCAAATTTTAATACTTGAGATCCATTATAACATGGTTTAGTGATAAATGTGCCATCTGGAAATTATAACTACTACTGATATTTCCATTTATATTGACGGGCAGTGTCGAGTACATGCCTTTTACACATCATTTGTTCCTATACTCCAAAAAGATACCATGCTCAGTGATACACAGTGGGTGGAGGATGTTACTCTCTGTGACAGCCTTGTTTTATTCAGACTAAAAACACCACGGGTGCATTAAATGGCACACATTTCATTCTAATAGTGAATTTTCACCTATCGGTTCAAGCCATGGTTAACCCATGTCTGTTCCTGCTGTTGTCACATAGTTTTAACTCTGCACAATTTATTTAATAGCAGAAATTGAAGAACTTAAACACTGACAGTGGACAAAGCGGCTGGCTGCCATACATGGGGATATGTTTAGGCTTAAAGCTTGATCTTCCAGAAGACTCTGAACCACAAGGGGCTACCAGGTCACTGTGCTGTGTATCCAGGATTATTTACTTTTTGTAGCTCTTAGGAGACAGGCATTTTTTTCTCACTTGGCAGATGAAGAAAGAGAGGTACAGAAAGATTAATTCAATACACCTTACTGAAGGCCTTTTCTGTGACGGGCCCTGTATTAACTGGTAGTAATTTTACTAAACATGCATAACCTGACTCAGACACTCAAACCTTGGTCTAAAGCCCACTCACGACTCCCAGTAGGTGGTTACCAAAGTGCAATGCTTCGTAACTGTCCAGAAAGCCACTGCAGAAGGAAGAAGCCCAAGGTAGGAAACATCTAAACGGGACTATCCTTTACCTTGACAGGCCCAATGATATTTCCTCCCAACTTATCATCCTGTGTCATTCTGGGACAATTACATAAGAAATCAAGGTTTAAAAATGAGGTTGGCTTCACATGGATGAGGGAAGAGATGGGACGCGGCTTACATTTATACTTGTTTTACACGGATCAAACAAACATTGATTAAATAATGCTGACTTGCCTCTGTGCAGCACAGCACTCATCCATCTGCATCTATCTGTCTGACTGAACATTTAACAATACACAGCACAGGTCATTATTTTTGGAGCTTGTCAGAGCGCTGAGAACAGTAAACTCGGGAAAGAATCACTAGGAAAGTAGTAAGGGATACTACTTTGATACTTAAAAAAGGAAAGAAAACAAAAGGCGATAAAAAAAGAAAAACGCCTTGAGGAAAATCATGTTTGCATTATCCACGCTAAAAAGAAGGCAAAGAAAGCATAAACAAATGAGATGCCAGTCAAACCACTTCTTGGGGTTTTCTTGGTGCTGGTGAGGGTGCTGTTCTTTGATTTCTCATGTTTCTGTCTCTTGCGGACAAATATCATAGCCAACACGGTCCAACAGTACCACCCTGACCGCAAATCTTCCTACGATCATAGTAAGCTGAGGTCATCCCAACAATCTGAAATTAGCATCCTCCCACTTAATGGACCCAGTGGATCCTTTTCTTTGGGCATGCTGCATGTGTGTTCTGACTTCAGTCCTCTGTTCTCCCTTCATCCTCCTCTGTCTACACAAATAATACACGGTGTGATATTGATGCTTTCCCAGTAGTGACTCCAAGTGTTCCTTTTCCCAGATAGATTCCTTCTAGGTTTTCTTTGGTCTCTGCAGAATTTTGCAAGTTTGAAATACAGCAAGTAGATGTATTCAACTAAAAATAGATTAATGAACTTTTATATTTCACAACTATATGAAATTTCTACATTGAATTGTGGCAGGAATTCACAAATAAGAAGGATTCATTGCGTGAGGCAAACATGATAACCATCTTAGTGTTAGTAGCAAAAACAATGAGTCTTTCTTTAAGAAACAGTATATTTTAGAATGAAATGGAGATCTTTTTTGAGGGTTAAAAACTCATTCAATTTTATGTCTTACAGGACTTGTACTGAGTTCAATATTGTACAACTGTATTGATTAAACAGCGAACTTAGAAATTTTAAAGCCGCTTTTGAAGGAGCTGTGTCTTTGCTCTGGAAACTGTTATTGGGCATGTTAAAGCTATAATGATATGCTTCTTCTAAAAAAATATATTAAAAATGTAGAAAAAAAGAATGATACATTGTATTTATAATTTATTTCTCCAGGCAATCAACAAGCCCTTGAGTTTCACAGTCCAGATGGACCCTACATGATAACATAAACTTGACCATGGTGCCAAAGGGCTTTACATCCCTGTCTGTACACCGAGGTCTAGACAGACTGCCCCACCACACCACAACTTTATACTATCTCAT